CTGTGGTCACAAGCTGTGCAGTAAATGCCTGGATCTAAGCCTGTATGACTGCACCTGGTGATCTGCATGTAAGGCGGGCCCTGGGAGTTAATGAAGCTTGAATTTACATACAGCAGGCACTGGGCATCTCCCTTACCTTTTTTCCTAATTAATAAACATTATTAGTTTGTTAAGAACCAATCAATACACTAGTTATGACTTAAATCCCGCCTGGTCAAAAGGTAATAAATTAGTTCTTGGATCCTTTGTTTGGTGAGAGAAGAGCCCCTCCTCTGGAACGGGCCAAGAGGCCTGGTCGAGAGGCAGAGACACCTCCTTGGGTAAATATTGTGCATCCCCAGGTGTATTGTGTATTGTATACTTTTTATTATTATTGCTAGCAATATTGACACCTATTAATAGTGCTATTGTAGTCAGTGCATTTCTCAAAGGCTATCTCAAAGCTCTTGTATCTGTCCCCTTAATGAATTACCTTACATCTATATCTAACTACTTTGTGTTTGCCACTTTTGCGAATCCGTTCTCACAGCAGCCTTCACCCAAGGGCAGGGGGACAGACAAACATTAAGTGGTCACACACATGAACACACTTACTTAATCCTTTAGTCATGAACCAGTCATTATGACGGGATGTAAGACTGCAGTGCAGCTGCCCCCAGCACCCCAGTACACGAGGGCTGTTGGATAGCAAGGGGGCTGTAGTCTGAAATCCTGCAGTTTCAACGGGAGAGTCCCCCTCCAGCACACATCTGTGTCTCACACACACACACTCTTCATGGCTTTTTTGCCTTCTCACAACACACCCAAGCCCAGCAGTTGCAGGAATTGATACATCATAATAACCAGCTATTTGACAGCCATTGTCTAATCTGTTCCAGCAGTATCAAGTTTATGAAGCTGTCTACTTGTATTGCATTTGCACCAAATAAAGCATTTTAACTGTCATAAACCAGCTAAATAAATTCCCCTTGTTCATACCTGCAAATAATTTTATTCATAACCTACAGAGTGTAAAACTATAATAACATTTTAAAGGTAATATTGGTGATCTTTTAATTGAATGCCAGAGCAAGGTATCAAATGTAGTCATAAAAGCTCCATCTTTCCTCAGACTGTGAGTCTTTGTTTTATTTAATTTTTTAAAAAAGACAAAGGCACGTGGCATCTTCCATAATCGGCTCCAGACTGCTTGAACAAGCTACTGCTATGGTCATCCTGCAATGTCTGCCAAAGGGGCAGGTGCTTATGAACAACAGGACCACAGCACCATAAGCAGCAGCAGGAAAACAAATTCCAGGTGGACATACCTGTTTTGTCTACAACACAGCTATGGAGAGCCAGCTGACATAAACTTTTTCTCCACCAGCACTCAGCACTCCCTCTCTTTCTATCCCTGTGTTACAGCAGGTACAGCAAGCCCAGTTTTCCTGAGTTCCTGCCCTGATGGCCAGTCCATAGGCCATGGCTGCCTGCCAAAATCAAATGCTGTCTGTGCTGCAGTGAAGCCTTTCATTTGTGAAGTATAAATACAAGCATTCTGGGCAATTCTGTCCTCTTCCTTCCCCAGTCTTTATTACAATTAACAAGAGCATTTGCAACTATTTGCCTGCAACAGCAGGGTGTCTGAGGCAGAACAATGCTGTTGGGGGAGGAATGCTGTGGGGCTCATTTTCTGCCCACTGGAAGTTTTTTCTTAAGCATAAACAGATTTCCAGTTAAAAGACCTTTTAGATCCAAACCCTGGCTATGCTGCCCTGCTGGGGCTCTTGCTCAGAAATCAGAAAGACTTACATGAATTGTGCATGGTTTTTTGGAAAAAATGGGCAGTGATTTGCTGCCAGTACTAATCACTCACCCACATTCACTTAGATGAAAGCATGTAGTAAAAAAATTGTAAATGAAAGTCTTTGTTCTCCTAGTAAAATATTTATTGTTTGGTTTTAGTAGTGAAAAGATAACGGAGCATTTTTTTTATGCCCCAGGGTGTAGACATATTTTCACATTCTCTAAAACAGTAAGAAAACAGCAGAGCTGCTGAAGACCTATCGGAGAAATATAAACATAAATAAATGAGCAAGACTTTACTTGACACAGAGGACTTTAGTTAGATAATCTCTATATACTCTAGCTTACCTTTCTTGCAGGCAGACAATAAATACACTTGCAGGCTTGCTTACTAAAACATACTTAAATTTTATGCAGATGACTTTGGGAAAAAAAGTCAAGATTATATTTTAAAATTATCAGTTAACAAAGGACAAGCATAAAAATTAAATTAAATCAGCACAGCTTGATTTAGTTTCTCCAGCTTTAAGTACTAGATGACTGAAGAAAATGCTTCTGATTTTTGGAAACTAGATCTGAGTAGATTTCTCTAAAGTTTAAGTACCACATCATATGGTTGTTTTGGTTTATTTCATTATTTTCTTAGGGTTCTTCTTTTTATAGAATGTAGGTAGACAATTTTGAAACAAAAATCTCTGCCTTTATTTTTAATACCAGTACTGCTATGTTTTGTTACAGGGACAAAAAGATTTTTAGGAAATGCTTATATACCCCACCCTCCTCCATCCCCATCCCTCCTTCAGGAAGTAAAAAAGAGAGCTGGAAACTAAGTTCTACCTGCTTAGCTCAAATTTATTTAAAATTTTCAAAATGGCATTTCACAAAGTGAAACCTCATACATTTCTCAATATAGAATAATAGAATTGTAAAGGTTGGAAAAGACCTTCAAGATCAGCAAGTCCAACCATTAGCCCTATACCCATGTGACCACTAAATCATCTCCCAAAACACTATTGTCTTTTTTAACACCTCCAGGGATGGTGCCTCCACCACCTCCCTGGGCAGCCTGTTCCAATGTCTCACCACTCTTTCAGTGAAGAAGTTTTTCCTAATACCCAATCTGAACCTCCCCTGGTGCAACTTGACCCCATTTCCTCTTGTCCTATCACTGGTCACTAGGAAGAAAAGGCCAACACCCACCTCACTACAACCTCCTTTCAGGTAGTTTTAGAGAGCAATGAGGTCTCCCCTCAGCCTCCTCTTCTCCAGGCTGAACAGCCCCAGCTCCCTCAGCCTCTCCTCCTAAGACCTGTTCTCCAGACCCCTAATTAGCCCAGTTGCCCTTCTCTGCACCCCCTCCAGCACCTCAATGTCCTTCCTATACTGAGGTGCCCAAAACTGCACTCAGTGCTCGAGGTGCAGCCTCACCAAGGCTCAGCACAGGAGGCAGAATCACCTCCCTGGTCCTGCTGGCCACACTATTCCTGATGCAGGCCAGGATGGTGTTGGCCTTCTTGCCCACCTAGGCACACTGCTGGCTCATCCCATTGATCAAGTCTGTCCAGATCCCTCTGCTGAGCCTCCCTGCCCTCAAGCAGATCGATGCTCCCACCCGACTTAGTGTCATCTGCAAACTTACTGGGAGTGCACTCGATCCCCTCATCCAAGTCATCAATGAAGATGTTGAACAGGAGCAGTGGGAACACCACCCGTGACCAGCTCCCAGCTGGATTTAACTCCATTCAACACAACTCTTTGCACCCAGCAGTCCAACCAGTTTTTATCCAGTAAAGCTGGAGTATGGCACATCCAAGCCATAATCAGCCAGCTTCTCTAGGAGAATGCAGTGGGAAACCTTGTCAAAGGCCTTGCTAAAGTCAAGATAGACAACATCCACAGCCCTTCCCTCCTCCAATAAGCAGGTCACCCTGTCATAGATGGAGATAAGGTTAGTCAAACAGGACCTGCCCTTCATGAACCCATGCTGACTGGGCCTGATCACCTGGGTGTTCTGCATGCACCACATAATGGTGCTCAGGATGATCTGCTCCATTAGCTTCCCCGATACTGAAGTTCTGGCATCTGTAAGAATAGAGAACTTTAACAATTTGTGGTTGCTGTGCCCAGGACAGCCTTCAACCATCACATCTCCTACCAGCCCTTCCCTGTTCACAAAGAGCAGGTCTAGCATGCCACCTTGCCTGGTTGGTTCACTCACAAGCTGTGCCAGGAAATTATCTTTGACACCTTCCAGGAACCTCCAGCTCTGTTCCCTCTATGCTGTGTTGTAATCCCAGCAGATATCTGAAGAGTTGAAGTCCTCCAAAAGAACAAGGTCAAATAACCACAAGATTTCACCCAGGTGTTATAGAACAGTTCATCCACCCCACTGCCCTGGCTAGGAGGTCTACAGCAGACTCCCACACCAATGCCAGCCTTGTTGGCCTTGCCCATAATCCTGATCCAAACACACTCAACCTTGTCATCACTATACTCAAGTTCTGAACATCTGTAACAATTCTAGTTGATATTCTAGAGGCACTAGGATAGAAGAGGATGAGTTCTTGTTGAAGACAATATGGGCAATAACCCAAGAAAGAATCAGAATAGTAAGATGAGTTAAAGGGCTGTGAGAAACCCATGAGGAGCCAGACATTTCAGTATGTCTCTCCAACAGGTCTGGAGAAACTGTTGGCACAGAATCTTCTTAGTTAACCTTTTGATGAAAACTAAGAAAAGGCAGAAATCTTGATGCTAAAGGGGGCAATTCAAGAAACAAAATGGACTTGGACCAAGACCACATGGATACAGTATCCAGGACTATGAAGAACTGAATGTGTTTATATGAAGGTTCATCATGCTGCTTAAAGAAAGAAATACTTAAGTGCAATGTGTGGAATGTCTCAAGGCAAGATGCATAAATAGTGGATCTGATAGTGGATCAGGTAACCTAACACTAGCACACGAAATTATTAGACTCAACATACTATTGTATCATACTGTATGGGATATTTTATTGATAAATCATCCCCCTGTTTATATTAGTTAAGACAAAATATAATTTTACACTCAAGATGTTCTCTGCAATTCTGCATTACAAACAGATTGTATCTTGTATCTAAAATATTCATACAGTTCACTAAAATGTTAAAAGCACTGTTCAGAACACAATCCATTCTACAGGTACCGAATCTTTCTTGACCGAGTCCAACATTTTAACTCTTTTTGAGATTTTTTAAGGCTCCTTCACAAAAAGAGGGCTTTCTAAGAGCAAGGTCTGTAATAGCCAGTGGCCCTCCAGTTAATTGAGGTGTACTTTCAACAGTTACTAAGCGACCAGATCCAATCTGAAAAACAAAGTAAATGCATTGCTTGACATTCATGTTAGCATTTAAAATGAGATGAGAGTTAAACCAAGAACTGTCTTTCAAAAATATTATTCAGCTGGTGGAGATGCATGCTGAGGTTTCCAAGGTCCATTCAAATTATCCTTTATACTAAATTCACAAATTGTTCCCATCAATAAAAAGGAAAAGACAGAGTGTTTTTTGAGCAGGTACCTTTATGTACTCTGCTCTTCTGCTTTCATGTCTGATCTTATGAATAGAGGAAAAGCAAATCAAGCCTTTATTACAACAAAAATGTATTGTGCAATGTTATTTCAATGTGTATATAATATCAGCCACAGGTTTTGTCATCAGTATTTCACTATACACTGATACTTCAAAGAAAAAAGAAGGGAACAGACCCTGTTTCTCTCAGAATGCAATTGCTTATCACTACTGCTCCTGGAAGACTCCAGGACTGAAAAGACATACACTTTCCAGTCTCATTACTACTCTTTATACTGAATAGGTTCGGTCTTTCAATAAAAATCTCCAAGTGACATCTCTGTCTTCTAATCATGACATACTAAAACAAACAACACAAGTTTTTTGAGTGCATTTTGATTACTTGACCTTGACTGGTTTGCATCAACTATCTTAGTTTAATTTAATCTCTCCTTACTAAGGGTGTTTGGCAGAAAGGAGGAAAGAAGACTGTTCCATGAAAAAAATGACAGCTGTGTCTTTTACTTGTAATTCTTCTATGGAAGGAATTTCACCTGATGTTGCTGATGCATTTCTTTTATTAATACACTTGTTCTGCCACAGAGACTAACCTTTTCTTGTTTTTGTTTACAGTTATTGACATATTGATTATAGAACCATGAAAATATTTTGTTAAATCCTCTGCCTCTAAAGAAATTGTCTTGGCTTGATGTCAAAGTTTTTAAGAGAAAATCTAACAACATATTTACCTCTACCAACAATTTCCTGAATACTCATGATTATATCTAAATTTTTTAGAAACTTTCTGCCAAATATTGCTGATTAATTCTCACTGATATATGTACATAGTTACATACTTTTTCCAGCCCACTTCATCTTGCATTCACAATGTGTTTCTCCATATCTTTCAGAACTTTAGGGCACAGATAATTTGATAAAAATCCTAGTCCAACATTTCAAGACCATCCCCTTGCTTCCTATTAAGCTCCTCCTTTCTTCATCACATCAAACATGAACTGCCTCTTTTCTTTTTCAGGATGCAGCCACCTTAGTTGTCATTACTCATTCATGCCAGAGAGCCCATGATAATACAATCTTTTGCTTTTGTACAAGTTTGAAAACAGCACCTCTTGGGTTTTTTTCCCCGTTTCTTTTTACATGTAAGAGTAACTTAGAAGCAACCAAGAGGCTGCCGCTCCCCCCAAAATCCTCCTTAGCTGTGATGCCTAAACAGAAATAATCCATCTAGCTCAAAAGGAGTTAGTGACTGGAATGGAGACTCCCACATCTTACCCCTCTTATCAAAACTCAACATCTAAATACGGTGTTACACCTGAACAAGTTCTTAACCATGGCTATTATTTGCCTACACTTTAATTAACTGAGAGAAATGAGAAAAAAAAATATTTTTCTGCAGATGCAACAAGTAGCTTATCTGCAGACAGTCAGGAACACATTTACTGATAAAGGACACCACTACTGATGTATTACAGATTGCACAGATTTACGCAACTATAAATGAAGGAGGTCTTGAACTCAGCAGGTTTTTCATGAAATGCCGTCCCACAAGAGGTATATGTCAAGCAGCATAGGGAACATCTTGCCCACACTTTTTATGAGTAATCTGCAGATCTGAATCTTGTTTTGACCAACTACCTGTTGTCTGAGGAAATGACAGAAGTGGAATTGTGCTTTGCAGAAGATCCAGATTATTTCTGACATATTGGAGCTTGTCAACATAAATATTATTAAAGACAGAGTAAGCAGCAGCAATATACAGTCAGAATAAACCCCAAACCACTTACACATTAATGAAAACAAAATAACATCATTGGGAATTACTTACTGTTGTATTGAGGCCTTTAATATCTGTAGAATGTGCTGTTCTGTTTTGAGTCTTTGATTTAGATCTGGTATCCTCTATTGATTTTTCCTGAAGCCTTTTTGCTTTCTAAAGATAGTTAGAAAAAAAGGCCAAACTGTTTTAATCAGAATGAAATGTATCATTTACACTTGACAGAAAATATACAGACAAAACAACAAAATAAATGAGGTGATAATTCTATTGGCTTTTAGTTATGAGTTTCGTCCCTTTGGCTTGTGACTCTGTTGTACTGGCGACCTGAAAACAGAATCAATGGACGTGGCTTCACAAAGGTGAGAAGAGAATAATCACTTGCTATGACCTGGGGACTATATTCTTTTTTCTGTAGCCATTTATGCTGTTAGACTTCATCACCACAAGAGTACACTGTTGCCTCATGTTGTCACCTCGTATATAGTACTCATCTACACCGCCAGGCAGTCCCCAAGTCGTGCTGACGTACAACAACACTAATACATCCCAGATACACAATATCACACTGTCTCTCCTGGACTTCATGAGCTTTTGGTGAGCCCATCCTTCCAGCTTGTCACAGTCCTTCTAAATAGCAACCCTACTTGCTTCCTCCAGTTCAGTGTCATGCATGAACATGATGAGGATGCATACTTATCCAATATCCAAGTCATTAATGAATATGTTAAATAGTATCAATCTTATAGTTAACTCTGAGGAGTATCACTCAAAACTGACTGCTAGTTAAACTTTAATCACTGACCACTCTACTTTGAGCCCATCAGTCCAGCCAGTTTTTCATCCAACTTGAAGTCCACCTCTACACAGTCCAGTCCATATCTCCCTATTTTGGCTACAAGGGTGCTACACAAGACTGTGCTGAAAACCTTGGTAAAATCAAGGGAAATAACATCCACCTTCCTCCTTCTCTAGAGCATATAATTTTACCACAAAAGGCAACCTTGTTAGCAAGACCTGATTTGTCCTTGTTAAATCCATGACAGCCATTACCAATCACCTTTTTATCCCTCATGTGCCTAAAACAGCTTCCCAGGGACTCAGTTAAAACTAAGGAGCCTGTGGTTCTCCAAATCCTTTTTCAGGCCCTTTTTCACTTTTGCATCTCCTTTGGGAAATGAAATTAAATTCAGATGCATTTCTTTTAAGTCTGATTTCATTCATTCTCTAACTTAATCTGATCACCTAGCCAGAACATTTTTCATGTTCTTTTGGAAAAGCACAAATACTGTTAAAAGAAACCCTTTAAATCATATTTCTCATCTTGGAAGATGTTTGTTTTACTAAAAAAAAAAGAAATTAAGTATTTGAAAAAATAAAGAAAAGTAAAAATGACCAGTCTTCTAATTTCAACAGTTTCGGGACAGATAGACATACATACATACACACACACCCCTCCCCAGTTGCAAGTGCATAAAACAATGTTGATCCCAAATTTGTGACTGTAATCAGAAGAGCAAAAGAGTAAAAATAGTGTAGCTTTGTCAATACACTTTACAGTTCAATCTTCTATGTCTGCATGGATATATCATTTACTATAATTTCTACTTGAATCCTCATAATTCCTTAAGAAGTGTGTTTGGAACTTCACAATTATTATAACTACACTGTGAATGTAACTTTTGCTCCATTATTCAGATTTCTCACCTTCAACGCCTCATAGTTTGATGTCCGAGTCAAGAAATTTTGCCAAGATTTATTTACCATTTCTCTCTGCTTATGGATAGCTTGGATCTGTAATACAAATGAAATTTACAAGATAAAACATAATCCTCTTCTCCTAAGTTTTTCTGAATTCTTTGCCTGTGCTGTTTGAATAGTACCGTCACCTATGCCCCTTTGGCTACCTTCACTCATCCTTCTCGCCTGAGGCTGGATGATGAAGCTGTAGTAATGTACTTGTCCTTTAAAAACTTCACTTAAAAAGTCTTACCTTCTCTGTGCAAACTGATCTTTCCCTCTTCCAACACAAATGTTGGAAAAGCCCCAGCTCTTTCAGGAATACTTTCTGTATATTCTCACTCTTAAGTGCTGAATAACAGAGATGGATCAGTTCTGATGACAAAAGTGCTGGTATCATAATGCATGACAATCCCTCAAAAACACTAGTGTGAGATTTTAGACAAGTGGACCAACTCATCTTACTTTTCAGAAGACAGAAGAGGATGAAAGAATAGATTAACAAAAATGCCAAATGTTTGTCTTATGACCCAAGCTGGAAAGCGGCTGTCCTGCTCACTCTCAGCATGAAGTGTTTACATATAGGGTTCTCAACATTATATAATTTAAATGTAAGTGGACAAAAAAGTTTACATGGGCTTTACTTGTTTAAATATTTCTTGTCTTACTTTTCTATATGCTTTTTCCTCTTCTTTGATTTCTTGGTGATGTTGACTTTCAAGCACTTCAGTCTGGAAAGCAGCAACCATTCTTCCAGTACCTTCCATTATCTCTGAAATAACTTCCAAGGCTTCCTCATCTGACAGTACAGGCCTGAATTCTTCTTTTAGCTCTGCACGTAGTTCACTCCAAACTTCTCCAACCTGTGTGTGATCATTTATCTCTTTTTTCATTTCCAATTGTCAAAATATTAGAGCAACAATCTCTTTCCTTATTTTTGTTTCACTCCTCAGAATTTTTATGCAAGGTTAGACTTCATTAAAGCTGTGCCAAATTAATTCGTTATAATCCTCCCTAAACCTTCCCAAGCCCAAGTGTGACTCCAGAGGAGAGTAACAGGAATGCTGGTAACTACAGAAACTCAGAAGAAATACAGATAGCTACAAGATAACACATTTCAGGAATGAAGTGTTGTGTCCTGCAGGCTGCTTCTTAAAATCTCAAATTTTACACATTATCAGAGCAAACTCCAACCTGAGACACAAACAGAAGCTGGAATTATCAAATAAAGATCTAGTCCTGCTAGTTCCTGAACACTTCAAGCTCTCACAGACTTTGTTCCTAAGAAGAAAATTGGCATAGACTGAAATGTCTTTTGATCAGGATGGCTCCAACAAAGCTTGCTTGTTTCCTATAGGCACATTCTTAACTTTTGACAGTATGGATAGATGGATACTGCATGTAGGGACAAAGATGGAAGCACATAAATACCTTTATCAGAATACGTATTTAATGCATTTTTTAATAGGAAACCATCCCCCCTAAACTGACCTTATTGCACAAAGAGGCAGTTCCTTCTCTCCAGCCCTTCTCTGATTTCTTTCTCCTATCCTGGCACATTCCTGTTTCCTGAGCTAGCAAACAGTTACAACTACTTTTTTTTCTGAATTATTTTTAAGTAGCATTGTTTTTTAGTCTTATTTTCTATGCAAAAATTTGTAGCAGTATGAGTCTGGTGAGTGTTGCTATGATGGAGGTAGGATTGTTTCTTTTGATGGTAAATACTGTCTTACACTCTGTGAAACTATAAGTGACTTGAGACACAGGTGACAGCTTTTGAAGAGTTGTTCATATCCTGAGATGTACTTGCTATTTTTGCAAACACAGATGCAGTAGTAATACTGTCTTCCACAATACTCACTTTAAAGTCAATATAATGCTGTATGACAGCAAGGGTGACAAAATCCTTAGCAGATAAGCCAGGTAAATTTCCAAAACCTAAAATAATTATCCTGAGATATCCTGAGATGTACTTGCTATTTTTGCAAACACAGATGCAGTAGTAATACTGTCTTCCACAATACTCACTTTAAAGTCAATATAATGCTGTATGACAGCGAGCGTGACAAAATCCTTAGCAGATAAGCCAGGTAAATTTCCAAAACCTAAAATAATATTAATCATGTCAGTATTAACAGCATGGTGAATTTATCTTAAAATACAACATTCTAAAAAAAGACACCAACTTGCTTGTCATATAATCTCATGCAAAACTTTTGTCACACATATACCAATCAGGCTCTTCTGAGCAGGGTTTTGATAATAAAAAATGGTTTCTCCATATTGAATTCACCCTGTATTAACACTTATTAGTGGCTCCAGTGACCTTCTAATCACAGGATAGTACTGCACTTGCTATGCTGTTGTGGTAAAGGTTTGATCTTCTGTTAAAGCAAACAGTTGAGTTCACAGGCCACAGTTTCTGAAGAAGCAATTTAGCACAAAACATACTTGTTTTTTTGTTGTTGGTTTTTTTTCTGTTTTGTTTGGGTTTTCTTCAAACTCTATAGAGACTCTATAGTCTATCAAATCTCATTCTAGACTTTATCACACCATCTGTGGGGTAACTGTGAATGCAGCATCTACCTATTAGAGTGTAATGACATCATGTTTTGAAGCTAAGAAACACCATAAAGACAGACCAATTAACGTTGGTTTTCTAGATTACCGTATTACAGGCTGTTATGGAGACTGACTACAACAAGAAGAAGATGCTGAGAAAATACTATAAAAATATTCCAATTTTTTTATTATCCACTTGCATGTGATTTCAGTACTTCACAGGAGACATTCCAATGTATTTAACTAACATAAGGGGTACGCGTGAATATAGGAGAAAGCTGAAACAAAATCTCGAGTGTTTTTGCTTTAACAAAGGATTTAGCTGAGATTCAACAATTAACATAACTAACACTATTAAACATTAGTAAGAACCTGGGTTACAACAGAGAAAGAACTAGCTCTAGTTTATTAGATAAATTAAGGATATTTTCAAACCAGTTGGTTCTCTGGGTTATCCAGGGAACTAGCTGAAGTGACCTCAGAAAAACTACTGATTATCTTTGAACCTGTGGAGGATGGATGTGAAAAATCAAACCTAATGCCTATTTTTAAAAGGGCAAAAGGAGAAGCCAGAGAATATTGGTTTAGTTCAGTTCATGAAAAAAAGGCTGAAACAAATAATAAAGCAAATAATGCTTATGCAGCTAAATGGTAACAGTGAAAACATTAATATCCAATGTGAACTAGTAAAAACGAAAACCTAGCTTTTCTTCATAGCCAGGTAAGAAATCTTATGGATCTGGAACAGTTTCAGTGTGCAAACAAGATAGAATTAGGAGGGACTGTAGCACTTAAAAATAATAGAATGCAAATTAATCTTGCCTATCTGAAAAATTATCTAAAGCCACATAATTTAATTAAATAAGTAACAACAAAAAAATTAAATGTAGGAATAATCACCTGTACAAATCTAAGATAGCAGATGACTGTTTTTATGGTGACTTTATTGATTGACAGTGAACAAGTTATATTTAATGACAAATGAGAAACAAGTCATTTGACTTGTCTTACCTAGCTTGTACAATAAATAATAAAGTTTTGCCCGTATGTTTTCTGAAACTTCCACAATGGCAAAGCTGGGACAGCTGGCAGGTATGGGGATGACCTCTTGTTGTTTCTGGAAGCTGGTAGCAATAGGTCTCTTTATGTCTAATAATTTCAAAACACAAAACAGGAGTTGAAGAATGAAGAGGCAGTATCTTCCCAAAGCCATTAAAAGTAGAGCAAATTGTGTCTACGTAATGAAGTATGACGATCTTTAGCAGGCAACTCTGGACATATTATTTTCTGTAATGCCTCTGCCAAAAGAAGACAATTTCATCCTATTTTATGTAAATCATTTGGATAGTTTGTCCAGGAATTTTAACATCATTTAGGCCAGAAAATGTTAATTAGCATGACTAAAGATTTGTGAGAACATAGAATAGCACTCTCCTTCTTTTTACAATATAAAATAAAAACGAATGCCATTTATGGAAGAAATGTAACAGTTTAACTGTCCAGCATCAGAAAAGCTGTTCTAGTCATCGTTCTGTTCATTACCTAGTTCATTCCCACCTGATGCAGAAAATGCTATCTAGTGGTCAGACTCTACATGAAATAGAAAGTATTTTGACTTTGCTAAGAACTACAGCATAAAACTATAAATATTATAATTTACTTTCATCGGGACTCAGACTGCAAAAGCAAATGCTGTCTTTGTTTTAATTTATTCAGTGGAACTGCTCAGTTTCACATGCTTCATAAAACTTACCAACAATCCTTCCATATTGATCCCGTTTGACTCCTAGCTCCAACTCCTCCTGTCTCCATAACTGTACTAGAAGGTTAGCTGCTGTTTGATCTTTCTCCCCTCGCCAGGTACTGATGTGCAAAGTGGTTTTAGGATTGTCACAAAATTCAATCAAGATTCCAAGAATTATATTGTACAGGTTCTTTTGCTTTAACTTGGTGGAGGCAAAAGGGAAAACATGTTTTAAACTGTTCACAATACACTAATGTCTACCTTCCAAAACATGAGAGAAATCATGTAATGTGTAATCAAGAAACTACGAACTTTTCATCAAACTATTTGTGCCAAACTGATGTATGAAGTGCAAACCTTTCAAGTTTCTGAAATGTTGCCAGGCCAAGTTCTATAAATCCAGAAACACAAGGGGAATGGGTGTGGGATTGTGCAAGGTGCACATACCTCTGTGCAGATTTACAAAATAGATTTTGCTTGCATGCTTCCAGGCTCACATGCTGGAGAATGTGTAACTACCAAGATTTTTTTTGGTGAGAAACAGACTCCAAAGGCAGTGTCTGAGCACTACTACAAAGCACCTGTTCTATTTCATAGTCAGACCTCTTAGCAGAATATGAGAGTAGGGAAGATTGTTCAGCCAGGGCACCAGAGGCTGGCAGCACAGTTGGGAAGAACAAGGAGGGAATAAAAAAAGGAAGGTGCATGCTCATTTTGTGAGAGGTGAAATTCCTATGTCCAAGATGCACACAAGTGGCTATACATACAAAACACATTTACAAAATAACTTTAAACAACAAAACTTTTAAAGCACTGAAGTGTGTAAAAACTTGGCTCTTGCTAATTTCAAGATGAAGAACTGAGGTGCTTTTCTAAACAGAGTTGTTATGCAAAATAAGAGCATAGTTTGATATACTTTTAGAAAATTAAAAACTCCCTCTGTCAAATATTTATTTTTAGAAAAGATACATGGAAAATCCATCCAATAATTTCTGAGCAGATATCTTGGTTTGTGATTACCTTCCTGTCCCAGGGAAATACAAACACTCTTTTTTGTTAGCATTATAATAGTCTTAGGATATTCTGTAGAAAAAATACTGCAGTTTTTCATGTTTTACTACTTTTTCATCTGTTAACAACAGTAATAAAAATACCTACTGCCAACAAATCCAGAAGGAGAAAAATCCCCTGTTTTTCAAGAAAATAATCCTCTGCAATGTAACATCCAATGACACAGGACCTTAAACAGAAATAATTTTACTGTGCAAAAACATTTTAATGCTTTAGAGAATTCCACAAGCATCTCATCTGTTTTACTGAATTGCATAAATATAATTGGTATGCAATATGCTTCGTACCTTCAGGGAGTAGAAAAATCATATTTCAATTGCCTTTTCATATACACTGTCTAACTAAATATACATTACTTAATTGCTCTTTCTTCTCTTGCAGGTGGCACGCCTGCCTTGTAGCACCCCAATAAATTTGGCAGGTTCACAATGAATTGGATTAGAATTAGAACTTTGAACTAAAACTAACTCAGTAAAAGAGACTAAAATTTAGCTACATCATGTCCCTGATTTGGTTTATTGCAGGACTGCGTGAATATTTCTGCTAGCAGAATCAAGGGGCTGAGACAAGCAAGACTGTTTTTTTTGGCAAGTGTTTGCTTCTGCCAGCTTAAAATTATAATGAAACTGGCATTCCAGATGCTATTGCTCCCCTCTCGTATTTCCTCACTTACGGTCATTAACACAGAAACTGAAAGGATCTCCTGCATCACTGAGTCTTTTCTTCCAGACAAACGTATCATTTGGTTTTCCATGTATTTATCTACATCTCCATTAAAACATATTAGCTTTTGGTTATCCTCCTATGTATCAGCATAGATCTACAGCTTCTCTGTGTCTTTTATATATTTTACCTCTGCCATGCTTTCTAGTTGACACTTTAACTTCTACCACTATTGAGTGGAAGGTAAAATTGTGTTACTTTTCAAAACCAAACCTTTACTTTAAGGCAACTTCTAGCAATTAAATGTTTCTTACTGACTGTATTGAGCTATGTAAAACAAAGGATAGTAGACATTTCCTCTCACAGAAAAACCTAAGTTGACTTAAAAAAAGCATAACTATGTGACTGAACTTCCTTGGTATTATGTGGACAGTGTGAAGCTGTTCTTCATAGCAATCCTTCAAAAATTTCTAGCCCAATATAGCCAGTTTGCAAACATACCTTCTTGTGCTTACACAGGTTTTAACTAATATTGGTCTTGCCTCCTGCTTACATCTCTGAAGTTATTTACAGACTCTAACCATAAACCTCTCTTACAAAGCCTTAGGTAACTGCACGTCAGGTCACGCGGTGTGGGGAGTTAGGTTGTCATACTGAACTCCTATTTAGAAGAGAATACATGCAGAATATTTATTTTGTGTTATTTTTACTTACTAAAATTGTATGAAGGATTTTTACACATTTTAAATAGAAGAATGCCCTATATGTGCAAAGAAAGGCCACCATATTGCAGACCTAAAAAACAAGACCTGCCATTTTTTAAGAGTTGCTGCCATTAAAATACTTCTTTACTAACCACAAGCAGTCAAGTGCACCGAAGAGGAGATGAAGGTGGCCTAGTCCACTATGAAACTTCTTTGGATCCATCTGAATGAATGGGATGAGTATATCTACTCCTTCATAGCTGAAGAGTTCCTGAGGAAATGTTAATTAATGCAATATGTTTCTTCAATATTTACCAAATAGCTACAAGAAAATATAAAGGAAACTGGAAAAATGTAAATGTTTATATTGTAATAAATTTGGCCTGCTAGTTAAGAGCAGGGTATATTCCTGATGATATAAATAAGAAAAAGATTTTTCAAGTTTTCCAATCTGTTAATCCTGTTCATTATCACATTTTCATACATATGCATTGTTAATTATGTAAATTAGCATTAAAATAGGTGAGGCACCTGCTAGTGCATTTTTGAGAGATTTTGTATTTTAACTGTCACTGTCACAGAAACCAGTTATCAGCCCTGACTTGTTAGGGTTGAACTACAATTGATATCTGCTTTTGAATGAAAAAAACCACAATATCATTTAAATTAAAATATACCATGTTTTGATGTTTTCTGCACAGTAGGAGGTAGAAAGATACATACCTTCCTGTGGAGATCATTTTCACAGAGAACAGACAAAACAAAAAATATGTCAGCTTGGATTTCCAGTAGAATGGCATCTTCTCTCTCTTTGCATTTGTCTGCTGCATACTTAAGGACATCTATAAATAAAATATTTTATATGTGAACGACCTACACACAAGACTCTTCTATTACAGCTGCTGATTTTTTTAAAAAGTATCAAATTTACACCGAGGGATTTTTAAAGGAATCTACTAATGCTATTCACTTTAATCTCCTTTATGTTCTAACAGCTTACAGAAGTGCAACACTGATGCTGTAGGTTTATGGACCTTTCTAGCAGCTTGCACTGACCTTCCTTGTTCAGATTCTGTGCTGCCCTTGTCTTGTGCCAGTGCAATTAATTCAGAGAACTGATCTGAATTAAGAAACTCTTAGAAAAAGGCAATGAACTTACTGATTTGCTTTACTGTACAGCCTCTCAAACATTTCGACTGACAGTGGAAATGTGGGAAAGACATAAAATACTTCCACTGCTGAGAAAATCAGCCTTGAACAATGATGTTCAGACACATAAAGTTACTTGAATCTCATGTGTAAGGCATAGTGATCATTTTGCTTTCACTCAAATCTGTTAGTTACCACAGAGTTTTCACTGGAGTTCTACTTTTAACTGAGGACAAAATCCTTCATTTCTAGGCTTTCTATTACAACATACTCTTTGAATTCCAGAGGATCTTACTTATTTTTTTTCTGTCACTATGACTCTTTCGGAGCACTGGGAACTTTTTATTATGGTATTAAAAGAACTTAAAATAGTATGTATTTGAACTTAAAACCAAATTTAAGAGGCATGTGTTACTGAACAAGACTATGCTCTAAAGAGCAGGAGTAGTGCTTAAGCAGCTTATTCTGCTTTTATTCTACATAATGTTATTAATATAAAAGTACATTGGTACTATTTTTTTTCTAAAGAGGAGCTGTGGAAAGTGACACCATAATAGACTTAGATAGAACATGGCCCATGGCTGGAGTTCCTAGTGGCTCTCAGTTAAAATAAGATGTAACAAATGCAGTATAATAAAGGGAGAAAGGGCAGCTTTCACTCTGAAATTAAACAATTAAGCTTTTACAGTTGTCTGTTTTGCTTAATCCCTTCAATTATGTGCATTTAAGTGTAATGGAATTAAAAAATCAAATAAATTACATCCATCTTGGATTAACTGTTGTAGGTTTTTCAGTTTTTCAGCAGAGTACCATGCTAAAACCACAGGACACGAAAAAGCATAAACATTCTTAGTGTCAACAGAATGTACTACAATACAAATTGTTCTTTACCCAGTAGCTGGCCAATTGCTCCCTGGTCACACAAATTAACGTTCACAGCATTGTCGTAAAGGGACACAACAGATCTCAGGACTCTCAGGCTGTAGCGCATTTGTGCAACTTTGTTGCCACGACCACCTGTCCCATGGAAACTGTTTCCTTGACCAAAGAAAGGATCTGTGAAGTAATCACAGTATTTTTTTTAGGCAGACAATATATGTGCAGAATAATAATGAGCTCAGGAAAAAAAACAACTGCAACTTATCAGTATAAGTAAGCTAAAACCAAAAATCCTTCCATCTTGTTTAAAACCATCTAGTAAAAAGCCAACTTGTGTGGGCTATACTTCTGACATTCATATGAAAGGTATGGTTTTGGTGAACATTTTAAATAATTACCTTTTTTTTTTTACCTTACTATGTTATTAACAGTCTCCAAAACTCAAATTATCTTCTCTAGCATCATATGTAATATTATCCTTTTAATCTCCATTAGATCCAAATGAAAAATTATTTCCAGGAAAACTTACCAGTTTAATTATAAATACTATCCATCCAGAGAAAACCACATCATGAAACTGAGTACAATGAGTATATTTTTGTTTAGCCTGTACTCTTAGCTGATGGCCACACTCCAGCCTTAGTCTGGAAGCTGTCTTGCTCTGCACAGCTCTAAATTTGAGTAAATGTAACCTGGCTCATTGCAGGAATTGCTGGTTGGACTCATTGCCACCGCAAGTGTTATCTAACCAGCTTAAAACACGGGCCACAGAGATGTGTGGCTGCCCACACAACTGATGGAATATCACTACAGTGGTACACAGGGAATGAGGCACCACCTTACCCTTCAGCAGAAAAAAAAATATTATGGTTGTTTTTTTAGGAAGATTAGTTTCCTAAGTGACCTCCTGAAAAGGAGTTATTCTGAATTCACGAGTTTTAAATGTTTCCTTTTTGACAAACAAATAAGTTTAGTTGAGTTGTGTTTTGAGGTTACTAGGTATGAAAGTCATTAGCATCTACTGACCTTGGCCTATACACCATTCTAGAAATACAAGGAGAAGAGTATTTCCTTGGCAGGACAAATATTTATTTACTAATACAGGAGCCACTGAAGCTAAAATAGCAATTGCATGAAGCTGTAATTCTTCGTATTGGGCAGCAGACCATTCAGGAAATCCAGGCTTTGGATTTGGTTTTACATAATAAAGGAAAGCTGGGATCACATCATTTTCACTGAGAAGCTGCAGAGTCAAGACAAAGAGATAGACAGACAGCTTACAGGGTTCACATGCAAATAACAAAAATCTAAAACAATAAGTGAACTTTATCTGTCCTACACTAAGAAAATTAATTTTTCTTGAGAAAGTATGCCACAAATGCTACAAGTACAGAGAAACTCTTTTTATATTCTGTAGCATTCTCACAGACTGTGGTTTGTTTAACTTTATTACGTTCTTCACATGTACTTCAATAATGACTTGCAGTGACTTGCCAGCTAATTCTCCTAGAATGGTCTAGGTTTGTAGCTTTTCTAAAACAGAAATTGTATGCTGTTTTCAAAGTGCAGGACTTAGTCTGAAGCTATGTATGAATTCTTAATTTGGAAAACAGCTGATTTCAGTGTGCTGGACTATACCAGATGGACAGCTAAACAATATTCCTGTGAGTCTTTTGACTTTTTTTCTTTTTGCTTACTGCACCTTCTGATCTGTTAAAACTTACCCGTACAGCACATGGGTCTTTAGATAAGACTCCTATCGCATTAAATAGTAACTTCTTCATCTCAAAGTCCTCATAAGAGTAGGTAAGTTTAAGTCCTTTTAGCAAGGGATTGGGAATTTTAACTGTGAAGGAAATTGTAGACAAGTTACCAAAAAAATGTAATTAGAAGTAAAAATAGTGTAATTATGCAGTACAGAATCTCTTACCTTCAGTAAATGTTCCAAGTACAATTAACAGCTTAGTAAATCCACTTTCCTAATAGGCATTAAAAAACATACATTAATTAAATTAAATTGCAGTGAAATTAAGACTTAGAGAGTCCCAAACTCATGTATTCACTACTATTTTTTTTTTTCTTTTTTCAGAACATAGAGTTTAATATATCCTACAGCAGAATATTTTCTCAAATAAGAGATCAACCATTTGGACACTGTACAACACTAACTAACTACAGTCCTAAGGGTACAATTAGTTAAAGCCATGTCTCATTCAGCGTAAGTCTGAACTTGTATGAGAGAGTCCCAAACTCATGTATTCACTACTATAATCCACTACACACAACCCCCCTATTTTTAGTACTGTTAAGAGTTGTGCTATTTAAAATGCACTTGTGTATGTGTAAACTTATACATCAGGGTCATCAGTACAATTTTCTGCCTTCAGCTGTGTGTACTAACCACTTATATCTAACTTCCATGCATTTGCAAGTAAGCACATGAGAACTGCATGTATGAGCAACATGCACTTACAAATATTACATATTAAAAATTCAGAAAATAAAATTGTGTCATTCACGAGAATGTAATTCACAATGGGGTTTCTAGGCAGCACACTCAAGGCAAAAGAGCTTTGTTTCTCAGGTAATTAGAAGCCACAGTTACCAGAACACTGCTCTTCTAGAGCAACAAAATACATAAGCTTGGCCTCAGTGCTCCAGCAAAGTGCCCCCAGAGCTTTCCACAACTTCCAAGATGAGCAGAGCTCACAGAACACTACATAAATGGCCCCACAGAATCAAGCCGTTGTGTTAGTTTTTCAGCAGCTTTATAGATCCCAAAAAAGGTGGGTTCAGATTTTTTCAGCCTAGCTCTGGAGGTTAGCAGACACCCAAGTAATTTTAACAATCAGAGAAATATTGCAAAAGTCATTTCAAAGAGAATACTGACATCTACAAACATGTTGCCTATTAGCTTTTGTCTCTATGGTATCTATATTCTCTGTACAAAGGCACTGTGAAGTGATTAAACAAAAAAGCATTAAAACTTATTGATGCTTTCTCCTTGCTGATTAATGCAGTATAAATTCTGATGGAAACAAATAAGCAATTACCAAACAGACAGTTCTCTTCCAACAGGGAGATAATCATAATTAGTATCATTATAAGCTTTACTTTACATATATTTTCCAGTTTACTTATGGTGAGAAAACACTTTTCCTTTTCAAAAGCTCAGATTTCTGTGCTGATTTCTGAATTACATTAAATACAAGACTGAGTTTTCTGAAGTTTCTTGGATAGTACATTAAGAAAGAGAACATCATGATGAAAATTTCTCTGTTATTATTTACAAGGCAGGTTTCAAGAGTAAAGTTAATGTTTTTGTGTACCTTGTATTTATACCTTGCACCTTATTTCCACAAGTGAAGTAAAAGCTATAGGGAGGCTGAGCACACAGAATCTAAATTAAAACTTCTCCATTTTTTCCTTGCATCGAAAACAATTTTTCCTCCTTGTATTTTAAGGAATTAAAATACTGTAGATACTTGTAAATAAACCTGAGCTATTTCTACAGCCAGGTAAACAATTTGAAAGTTTTAGACATCAAATATGTTACTGCAATAGGAAAACAGACATTTCATAACAGTTAGTGATAAAATGGAAAGCTTGAATGAAAAAATCTGTAATCTTCATTACAGACTATATAATCTATTTAGTAATACAGCCAACTGGGAAACTTCTACTCATGCTGAGATATGAATTATCTGAAAGTAATCCATTCCTGAATAGCCAATAGATCTACATAAGCATGAATCTGGTTGCTTAATTATTCAGTATGTATGTCACAACTTCATTTAAAGTTCTAAAACTGAACTGTAAAACAAGGGAGTAAAAAAATTTTAATATCTACAAAAGCTAACTTCTTTGCAGTTTCCTCATAAGAACTCCAGAATATCAAAGAAGAATGAGCTATCTCCTTTTTCAGAAAGTCATGATAGTGCATTCTGGACTACATTTAGATGACCTGTTCTTAGAAAGAAGTTATGTGCCTCTTATTAACTACATCTAAGTAATTATTTTCCCAGCATCTTATTCAGAGCTTCTGAGTGGATTTTTGGAAGACCCTTCCTGGTCCTGGCTATGAGGCATGGATGCTTGAGTCGAATTTGGGCTATCTGAATACAGCCTGTACTCCGACATCTTCAAACAACAGCTGAGATTTAATGCACAACTCACTGTAACAGGATGACACACCTGAGAATTTGTACAAGAATAAAGGAGCTGACATTTAATTTTGCACATGAACACTGTTAGTGTCGATTTCTAAGTATCAAATACAGCTGATGCTAGTACTTCAGATTGATGACTGATTTGAAGTCTTTCTGAGGTAAAAGGAATTGCAGAAAAAGAAATGGTTTCTTGCTTAGCAAGGAAAGCACCAGTGACAGAGTAGAACAAATATTAGAACCCTAGCAGGGAAGAATACTGAGTTCATAACAGCAAAGCAGATGGTATTTGTCTCTAGAATATAACTATAAATACCTACAATCATGGGTGCTGCAGGGTTTTCAGCTAGCAACGTGGCAATCACCAAGAGGTCATTCCGTAGCTGACGATCATAATGCCGGAAGCCACGCAGGAGGAGGTCTACAAATACTTCCTTCAAAGCACTTCCAAGAAAGTGAAGTACATTTTACCTTCTCTTTTCATAGTCTAATTTTAGACAGCTCTAGGTATAGAAATCCTCACTCAGCATCACACTTATCAAAGCCTTAGGGTTTAACTGCAAGGGAAATAACTTAAAACTTGGTTATGAAATGGATGCTTATGAGTAACACTAGACATCCCATTTAAGCATATACACAAGGTGCATGCATTACAAATTGCACCTTCCACTCTATGTGTTATAATCAATTCATAGAAAGACATAGTATTTCAAGCATGGAATTGGATGTTGTAGAAGGATTATTGAGAAGAAATGGCCAAACTGGAATAGTTGAAACAGTATAAATCACTAAGTGAGAACCTGTTAGTTACTCCAGCAGATCTAGAACTAAGCCTTGTATATGACAGCGTAGGATTTTGTACTAATTTCATAGCATAAGCATTTCAACCGTGCAGTAACGGTGGCCTACCCAGCCTCACGTGTCAGCTTGTCTGATATGGTAGTGCTTCCATTTTGGAGAATAGGATGTGTTAATACTGAAAACTTAATGAAGACCTAATGAGAGGTCTCTATTCTCCTTCTGTATTTTCTCTGCATTAATTTCAAACAAAATCCTACATAATAGCAATGTTTGAGATGTCTCCAAAATGACAATACTAATCCATAAAATGCTTCCCTGTACTTACTGTACACATTCCAAGCTACTGAGCTGATTAATTACTTCTTCTTTGGAGGTGTTTTCTAACAGGTTCCACAGGATTTCTGAGGAGCGGAACACCAGCTGTCCTGAGGGATCAACACCATTTAGATACAAACAGAGTCTGCTGGCTGCTTGGGCCTTCATCATAAGTCTGCAATTTACTCCTGAAATAATGAAAATCTGAATCATTAATTCCCTGTAGGTCAGAAGTTGTTTTAGGCATGTTCAGAGAATAACTTATCTAAGATCAGAGGTAATGAGTTAGTTGAAAGAACAGTTTGTACTAACCCGAGGTGGAGAGATGCTGGAGAGCTTTAAGTACCCACAACTTCTCAGTAAGTTGATTTTCAACTAGTGCTAGTGACAAAACAAGAGTTTCTGCTAATCCTCCTAATTCAGCCATCTGAATTTTATAGTTTGCACTTGTTGGCTGATAACCTGCACATACAATAGCGTTAGTTATAATGCAGTAAATATTTAGAATTTGTTTACTTCATAAAATATTCACCCTTTCTCAAGAAAGGATAGAGAACCTGGCATCATATTTCCTTTCAAATCCATATTTCATTACTGAATTACAGAAGGGAGGGAAAGCATTGAAAAAAGAAATTTATATTTATATATGCTAACTCATAAAAGTTAAGTTTATCTTAAATAGCATAAAAATATGTATCAAATGACATGAAATGAAGAATTGATAAATGCAGATAATGCACATGGTCAAAGAAATTTTAACTATGAATACATTCCAACAGGCTCTAGGTTGGTATTACTTGATAGGTACAGGAACTCTGCAGGATCAAACTTTGTCAAAATTTACATATATGCTTAAGAGATGAAGAATTTGACTTAAAATATCAGAATACAATACATTCTTCATTTTTGAAATTACATTTGCTAAATCTGGAGGAAAAGAATAAAATATCTCAATATTTAACATTCACTTATCTTGACGGAACTATTTACAGCTGTACAATAAATATACACATGCTTGCAGGATTTGAGTCTTTTTTGTAAGGTAAAAACTGATTTATACAGTTTCACATCTCTGGAATCTTGTGAGGGCTGCTGCAGCTGCAGCTTCTTAAGGCCTCCAAAAATAAAAGAAAACTAGCAAGAGGGCACAGGACTTAGTGTCATGATACAGGAACACACAAGGGAGCATGCTGGATGTCAGTATACTCCCTGATCTGGACTCTGGATCAACAGTGTAACACTGCTCATCTGTAGCTTGGCTGCCTATAAATTTAGTACTGTCTCACAGGATGTGATCCTGTCTGTGCTCCTCTAGGAGGGCACCCATGAGTGGCTTTGCCTGATAACAGCCTCTAGCACCTTCATGAGGGTCAAAGAAATAGCAGTGGATTTTGATGACAGTTTGCATGCCTATCCATAATACCAGAGGATCATGCTTGAGCTCATAATGCAGGCAAAATCAGCATCTTTTCGCAGAGACAAGTCACACGAGTTCAAAGCTCAAATGTGTCTATATAATACAAACTCAAATTTTGATGGGCTCGGACCTATCTGTCACAAGCAACACAAGTGAAACTACAGCTTCTTCTCTCCCGACTTGATATACAAATTTGAAAATTACTTTTCCATTCTTATAATTCCGATCCTAACTACTCTTTATTCCTCAGTTATCCATGTTTCAGAGAACTTGTGAACACTTCACATTTTCTGGATGCTATCTAACCCTAATCTCCTAAGTATATTAATTAATTACTTGTACATTGATTTCTTGTGACACTTGAAAATACTGTACTTTACCTGAAAGTAGTTTTCTTGGTAGCTTCATATTATAAAAGCTAATAACACATTTACATATTTGTATTCTAACTTGAGAGCTTGGCACTCTCATCAAATAACCTGTCAGAAACAGGGGAAAAAAAAAATAATTAAAAAAAATTACAAAGTTTATAATTTTTTTAGAAAGTAACCTTAATACTTCCATTTACAGTACTTAGTGTTTCCTTTGGTCATACCCCTTAAAAATCTGTCATTTCACATACAATTTTAGTTATAAGATACTCAAGGGACAGGGACTCCCACACTGAAGAGGACAAAGGGGTCTTGGAGGAGTAGGATAAGGTTAATCAGAAAATTACCTACTCTGCTCTACGGCTACAGACTCTTGTAAGAGACTGGATGTTATTCCCAAAGTTGTGGAATTCAAAAGAAAGCTATTACACTGTCATCATTACCATGTCAGAAACTCTCCTTGTAGCAGACATGATATGATATAAAGGAAGCACAGAAAGAGATGCTTTTCTACAGGATAAAGAGAATTTCATTGAGAGCTACCAATGCCTAACATGGATAATATAAACAATCACTCAGATTTTACTGTTTGTTTTGGATATGCTACTCGTGAAGAGTATATATCTGAAATCAGGGAGCCATTCTGCTATCTACTTGGACCTGTGAAAATAAAGACTTCTAAAATCTTTTTTTCTCACCCATTTCAGGCATAATCTTCTCTTCATGTGTGAGAGGCTGATTATGCTACCTCTTTACCATTTAAATCTTAGAACTAAGTGAGGTGATAGATCAGTCCTGCTCAATTCTGAATCCTTTTTCACTTACAGTGCTTGCAGTATTGTCTTTGAAAACCACAAATGTGACATTCAAGGTCATAAAAAGATACTATGGTACTAAGAGGTCCAGTGACATTAAGACATTATTTTGACACCTTTTCCTTAATGGCTCTCTTGAAAGAGATTTCTGAAAGATAGAAGCTCATGGCTCAGATGCAGCAGGAGGCTGAAGTCAGAAACTGCTGCTCTTGATAAGGCATGGCACTGAACTGACTGGTATTTAATCTTTGTAGGTGATAGGTCAGGCTTTTGGGTTTTGAAGGTCTGAGCTGGGAGTCAGGAGTTACTGCTTCTCACTTATTTCTTCCATTTGGTTTCAGAGGAGGAGGAAGGATAAGTTGCCCTTATCCCAGGCTTCAGTGTTTACTCTAATACACCAGTTACTCAGAGCAAAATGAAATTAAATAGGCTATAGACAGATTTACTTCTTCAGCTGTACTGATAAAGATACGCCATGTAGCTTCTGACACGGGTAAATATGTAATTCTGTTAGCTGTTATATAGGTCAGCTGCACGGTAACGGAAGAATGGCCTCCAATATCAAAAAGCACAGAGAACTTCACAAATAATTGAAAGACACTACTTACATTTACTAAGGAGGTAACAAGCAATTAAATTTGGGCTAGTACAATTACAGATAGTTTTATTATGGCATGATAATAATTCTATTGTGACATATCAGTCTACACTCACCCAGTTGTGCAATGGATTTTGAAACTGTCACAGAATAGCTTACTTCATCAGATAATTTCTTTTTTTGAAATGGTAACCTGCACATTGAAATTAAAAAAGATTACAGCTGTGCTTAAAACACTGCAGAAGAACACTTTAATCAAGTCACCAGAAAAGTTCAATAGCTTCTTCCTTGAGATTTTTTTGCAAATAAGGACACTTTCCCCAGGACAAATACATGATTTGTGATGCTGATTCTACACGGAAAGTTCTGGTTCCATAGCACAGCAATTATTTTGGAAATTAGTAGTACACATTCATAGATAACATTTTCATAGTTCATATTTGGTGATATAAGAAATACTGAATAAACAAGTGTTACATAAATGTGCGAGATTAAATCCTGGAACCTAGAGACTATCAGGCTTGTGCAGATCTAGACTATGCATAGACATGTCCAGAGATGGAAGAAAAGGATCATATCCATGGGCAAGACCTCTTGAAATAGCTAAAAAGAAAACCAATAAATTGACTCCAAATAGCCCAATGAAAAATTTATTTTTAAAAACAGGATGTTAAGAAATATTCAGTAACGTGTAAACTACTCATGTATGACACAAACATGTTAGTGCTAAAAAAATCTCTAAAAGTAAACATCACAATATTATTCTAAGGTCTCTGCAGCTCATATTATAGAAGCAGCTTTCCGGTAGGTTTACCTCTGTAAATATAGCCAGAGAAAAAGAAAGGAGAGAGCAAATAGTGGATAAATGGGGGGCAAAAAAAGAAATAGACATTGAAAAAAAGTGGAAAGAAGGCAGGTAAACAGAAGCAGTCATGAAATAGTGGAAAATTTTACTACACGAGTTCTAGTATCTGAAAGGAAATTTTAAATGCAGCCACTCCCTCTATTTACAGGCCTCTCTTTAGTAGCAAATTGTGGGGGAATTTCCAGAGTACAGAAATTAAAGCAAAACCCAAGAGTGTAATCTTCCAAAAGATATTCATTGCAGAAACCACAATTATTGCTGAACTGCTGTAGGAAACAAAAAAATCTATAGGAAACGAACAGCCTTACTCACAACTACATTTTATCGACTTTATATGCTCATTCCCAGTTTTGTCACACTTCTGCCAAACACCAAGGAAAATGAAACTTCGTGATGCACTTTCTCATTCTCCACTGTATGGCAGCAAAGGAAAGCAGTACAACTGAGGGTGCTCAGGGAAAGAAAAGATTCAGCTGAGAAGTTCTATGTTTATCGAACCTAACAGCTGACAGGGACCTATGTAAAAACCTCTGAGTATCTGGTGTACTGTGCCACTCATTTTTGTCTGGCATAATTTTTCTGTTCCTTATTCCCTCCTGTTGTAATTAAATATGAGCGTAACTCTAGTTACAAGCATCCCATAAGTAACTCTAGTAAAGTATCAAGTAGGCAAAAACTACAGACAAATGTGTAAGACCTAAATTCTACCCTACAAATAAAGTACTGCACAAAAACGAAGATGTCCCAAAATGAATGCAGTACATATTTAGATAAACTACAAAAGTCAAGCCCTCAGATTGTTGTGATTCTTTCACTTCTGCAATATGACTTGTCACTTTGTAAAGCTTACCTTCAGGTAAGTGTCTGTGTGTGACCTCAGGATTTTAAAGTCACTTAGAGAGCCTCTGTGAAGCAGCAAAACCTATCTCTGCAGGACTTAGCTGCTGAATCTTTTGAGGCCAGCAGTCTCAGAACAACTTACTGTAGGCAATAAGAGACCTTGGGGAATCTTGCTTCCAAGCAAGCTGGGGCCAATTACAATAGAGTTTTGGATGATATAATGCAGAGCTTCACAGATACTGAACCGTTAAAATGGGTCTCTCCCTCATGCCAACAGATGATTAACTCAAGGAAAACAGTTCATGAAAAGGAAGGGTGATATAATAGATGTCTTACAGATATAGATGCCTTGTAGATGCCGTATGGATGTCGGTTGCCTTAGAAAATGTATGAGCACGTTAATAAGCAGTGTTTAAATCTCTAAAAAAAGCTGAAATACTTACCCACATATTTTAATAAGTTCACATAAAGGCTCAGTGAAAGCTTCTTGTTCGTTTACTTTTTCTGCGCACAGGTTAAGAATTTCAATTATTTGTGCTAAATCCTTAAGGGGCTTTTAATTTAAAGTTAAGGAAATCAGATTGTTTGTACTGCTATGAATCAGAAGAAAAAGCTGAAAACTGCATTCATCATACTTCAAAGACATAACCAAGAAAAAGCAAGGCAAATGCTTTCAAAGTCAAGACATCTAAAGTGAAGCATATGAGTCAATACCTAGGCTTTTCAAAGCAGCCTTACTTTTACAGAAGTACAACTCTTGCAAATCTGATTGAGATTTCTCATCAGCTGAACTCACTGGAAGTTCAGCACTGACTATCTAAAGAATAGGATGAAAAGTGTCAGATTTACCTACCTAAAATCTGAGACAGCCTTGAGGTATTTAAATTCTTTCCTACTCTAGTCCCAAATCAGTAACTGATGTTTGAAATCTAGACCCAAACACATATTGAGATGAACTAATTTAGGGTAAAGGCACAAGATCAAAATTGAACAGATCACTGAGACTAAGAAGTTATTACCAATCCACTGACTCATGGAAATTACCCACAAGCGCTTCACTCAGTTGTGAAGTAATGTGATCGCTTAAATCACTGTGGCAATTAGCTGAACTGTACAAAATTAATCACATTTTTTCCATATGTCTTAACCCTCCCTAGTACTTTGAATTATTGGAATCCTTTCAATTTGTACTGTAAATATGAAAAAGGTTTCAGATAAGTTGGTTTGACTTTATTTTTCTTTAAAATGTCTCCTCACTGGAAGTCATTGTTATTTTATCTGCTGCTTCTTAAGCAGTGACAATTAATATGCTTTTCTAGTCTGTGTTGAAAGTACACTAATTACCATATGAATACTTTCAGCCACTGTACAGGTGAGATCCCTCTATTGAATTTTGTAGCAAATGAATCTAGGATCCAAGAATATTGCTAACCTATCAACTTTGGCTACATATGCACACAGCCAATGATGAGCATGTATGTCAACCATCACTGCTCTCCATATGGAAGCACAGCACGTCATGAAATGCTTTGCTGAAAAGTCAGAGTATTAACACAAACAAAACAGCACAACTTTAGAATTCTACAGTGTCAAAAAGGATACAAGCCCATTTTCAAAATGCTTGACTACCTTCTTGAGAGTTTTCAGCTGCTCTTTTTCCAAATCTTTCTTAAGCAAAAGAATGAAAAGCAGGTTTTAATTTCAGTTTGCCTTAGAACATTAAACAATTATGTTTATCCCCTTTTAAGTTTAAATGAAAGTGGACATCAGATTAAAAAAATCACAAGACACAATGAAATTCTGAAAGTGCTTTGCAGCAGGATTAGCTCCCTGATCAAGCCTCACATCTTAAGTATGAAGTCTGAGTTATTGTAACTAAAGAGGCTTTAAAAAAACCCTGTATTTTGTTAAAATGTCTGTTATTTTTCTTCTAAATTCTTTGGGATTCTGTGGAAGACAGCTAAGAAAACCAAACCTATGTCACACATTACACAGATGTATAAAAATGTAGATCTAAGAGGTTCAGAGTGGTGCTCTGCCACCACTGGGACACAGTCTGCAAATGCAAAGTTGAAAACTATTTAAGTCAGAGTATGACAGGATATGTCAGGGTGTGTCAGTGACATGCAGGATTCATTCAGATAGATACTCAAACTTGACCCTAGAATAAACACATACATACAGAATACTTTGCTGTCAAAGATCAAAAACATCAGTGTAATGGGATTTAACATAGCATGGAAGGGAGGTTTTTTTCACTGCGGTAGTAATATTAAAAGTCTCTACCCCGATTCTACTGTATGTATTTTTTTTAACCTGTTATCTCAAAAAAACCAAAGATAATGTCCATCTCCAACAGACTGTCAAGCTTCTTTTTGTCTTAACAGTGCAACTTTTTGTGTAGCACAGAAATGAATAAATTTTTCTGGAAAATCTATGGCAGTAACAGAACCCCCGACATACTTGGAGTTGGACTCCATGATCCTTATGGGTCCCCTCCAACTTTAGATACTCTATGATTCTATGATTCTATTACTTAAAATATTGTGAATATTAAAACCTTACTGAAACTGTCATAGTCTAATCTTGTTTGACTGGGATGCCCTTCTGAACTACATGTTGGTGTACAGCTGTCTCTGAGTGTTTTTTCCTCCTAGAAACCATATGACGAGAACTGAAATGTTACCTGTGATTATCAAGTCTGCTGTTATGTTTATATCAGCTTATTTAATGACCCTAAGTGAGGAGAAAGTATCCTGAAGGACTTCAAGGGACATTGCTTGAGGAAGGCAAAAACAATAAAGACGTACTGGAACCTGTGCTGTACCACTGGGTATCAGACTGTGATAGTGTAGAGGACTGATGTATCTCAGGTTGTATGGTGCGAGTGGGAACCTTGAGTAAAAGTGAGTTCAGTGTCCATTTACTCTGTATGTTACTGCTGTAGTGTATCTCTGGGATATGTGCATAGACACATAAAGGTTTTCTTTCTTACTCAGAAAATGCTTCTATGATTCATTCTAGCTCTTCTGAGCACCTCCACGCTGGGCAAGAGCACTGCAACTTAAGGCAGGCCAGAAAATTGTTTTAGGAATCTACAAGCCCAGAATCCTAAGAGCATTTTATCATGTATCTTATACTCTCTGGAGAAATAAACAATACCACTGAGCACTTATTCCTTCAGTCACAAAGTTTATTCTATCAGCTCTGTATCAAAACAGGGATAAAAAACCCAACAGAACACGAACTACTCTGTGGGGCATTGATTTAAACTTTGGTGTGTTTAAGCAAGTTCTTGTTTTAAGAATATAAACTATTAAGTTGTTAGATAAAAAATAACTGATGGCTTAGTGAAGTCGGTCTGCCATACCTTCTTGTGGAGGCCAAAAACATTCTGTGGAATTTTACATTATGCTCTCCTGTGTGCCTAGGTAGTCATATCTGTTTCCAACACTGTATATTTCTCCTTCCTTTAAAATACCTCCAAGGAGAAACGTTAGCAGTTAACTTGAGCAATTACATAAATTCCTGACATACTTCCAGTAACTCTGTATTTGTTTCTCATCTGTAGGTTTCAGCACTCAAAGCCTCCCAGATAAGCTAGAAATTTTTCACATCCAGTTTTAAAAGGCAAATGCTTTTGCCTTCTTTTTTTTTTTTAAAAAAAAAAGCTGCTGTATGAAGACATACTGGGTTATATATAGATATATATTTAATATAAAAACATTGTTGTTACCATTCTCTAATACAATGGCAATCTTTAGAAGATCAAATATTTCACCTGTAGCCCCAGACACCGGTGCCACTTCATTTATTTAGGATGGGTGCTAAAATAATTGTGTAAAACATTTTTCTAGGCTCCATTACTACCTGTGTAACAAGGAATCCAGCATACTTACTGACTCGGAATCTTTCAGTAGCTTGATGACGTGACTCAGATCCACGGATTTTAACTGTGCACCCTGGAAAAGTCACACTTTGAACATTTTTTTTTCTTAGACTGTCCTTAAAAAGTGCTTAAACCTTAAAACGTACAAGTGTCTCATTGAACCAACATGAATCTACCCACGGAGGGTAAACCCAAGCTGCGTGTGGAGCACAGACTAGGGCTTGTTCTCAGTCCGATGTAGCGGCCAAGCCAAGCCAAGCCAGGCCA